ATCCGCCTGCATTGGCCTCCCAAAGTGCAGGAAGTGAAAGAGGTGTAAGCCACCATGCCCAGCCTAAGATGATTTAAAAATAAATGTTCTGGACTAGAATAAATTTATGAAAAGCCAAACATACACATTCTATTTAAAACCATCTCTCTTGATTTTTATATTGCTTTCTGGGGGTTATTTTCTATATTTTATTTACAAATAAATGAAAGTCTATTTGCTATTAATTTATTTTTATCTTTTCATACATTTATCATTTATTAAATATAGTTTGTGTTTCTTAATTGGGTCATAATGCAAAATGTTTATTTTATTGTGGTTCACAGTATAATACAAAATATATAATGTTTGAAAACATTAAAATGTGAACATACATATGAAAGTGGATGAAGTAAATTCAGTTGAACCTCTCATTTTATTCTGAAGACAATAGTGGTCAGGTAAACCTGGAAGGCATCATGTTATAGTAGCAAGAGCACCGGTTAGACTCTGCTTTGATTTGCACTCCCTGAGCCCTGATTTTCAGGAAGGAAAAGAAAGGAGAGAATAATAATATTTTTACAGGACTATTGTGGGGGCTACAGGAGACCATGTTGGAGAGCTGGGCAGATGTCTCATCAAGGAAGGCCTGCAAAACCAGAGGGCCTTTCGGAAAAGGAATTGTTGACTTGGCTAGATTGGCATTTAAAAAATTACCCTGACACTTGAAGAAAGAATTAAAAGGGTGGAAGAGATAAAATGTAAGGAACTTCTGCAGTAGCCCAGTTGAAAGAAATTCTTGGTTTGACTAGAAGGTTGGGCGGTAGGAAGAATCAGATAAGCAGCCCCAAGACACTGCATGAAGTCATTGAACAAAGGACTAAAAACAGCTGTGACGGAGCGCTGCACGCTGCCACCACCTCATCCGCTTGGGACAAATGGGAGAGTCTTGAATTCATGCCATCTTTGCAATGTAGTCCTAATACAGCCTGTCCATTGTTTGAATTATATTGCCACCTACCACCTGCAGTGAGCCGCGGGACTCATGCCTGTTTGAAACTAATATTATGCTGCAGCAGACACCCATTGACCTCTGTTTGGAATGAGAATGAAAGGAACCTCTGACTACATGACTATGAACTGAGCCACTTTTTCTCACTGCTTCCAAATTCTATAGACCCTGAATATCCATCATGCCTTTAGATATTTATCATATTTACAGAGCACATACTTTGGAAGCATTGCCACGTTTTCATATTTCGTCTCCATGCCTCTCCTAAATATTAGGTGGTTATAGTATAAATATTTAAAAAAAACTGTGGCTCAGTGAAGTTAAGAGATTTTTTTTAATGTGACCTGTTAGTAGTACACTAAGAAGACTGAATTCCCAGCTTCCAAACTTTCTTTCTTTTTTGATGTAATTGTGCAGGTTCTTGTTAAAGGATTCTTTTCCAATGAAGATAAACTTGAATGTTTCAGAGATTTACATTAGCTCTATCTTACAAGTTCACGCCATTATATTTGTGACTGTGTACTTTCTCTGCTTAATAATTTATCATTCCACTGCTTCCTGAGAGTCCTAGGAAACAATGACTATGTGAATAGCTATGAGAAAATCCTAAACACTAAGGCAGACTTTTCTTTTGCTCCACAGATTAAAAATTACAGGTGACACTAAAGAAAACAGCTGTGTTTACATTTCACAGACATCTGTGTTTTCTGAGGACTGTAGTACAGAAAACAAATGGATCTGCCAGAAAGAACTAACACCTGTGAGAAATGAAGTGTATCCTGACGCCTGACTATGAATGCCATCTCAATTTATTTGCTTCCCATTACTGATCTCTGTACTTTTAACTGCATATACTATTGGTATCACCTAACATTCATTTAGTGACACAAAATGAACAAATTCTGAGAATCGTACAACTGTTATGAATGTTAGAGAAGTTCATGTTTTTCATATTCATTCTATAAAATGAGGAAACAGAGACATAGAGGAAACATGTATCATTTTAAAGAAACAGTGATATTCTATGGTGAAGGAATAAAGGATGTCCCGGAATATGGCAGATTGATATATTGATTATTTTGTGTTTAAAACAGTGGAGAAATTGTAGATTCAGAAAGAGACAGCTGACCTGTCTCTTCCTGCATGCAGCAAGCCATAAAGATTCCTCTGGGAGGGTTACCCTCATCATACAAGGGCAAGAAAATAGCCCTTATTGCCAGAGACCTGGAATTGGACGTTGCAATGAACCTGAATAAATATACTTAATAAAGAAACACGTATCTTTCACCTATTTTACAGCTCCCCACAACCAATATATCTCCTAGTGACTCCTCTAGAAAATGTATTGCCCCTAGCCAGCTTTTGTTTGTCCTGTCATTTTTTTTTTCAAATTTATCATTCTTGATCTAAAGAGCACAAAAGCATCTTGCTTAGGCCAGTTTGGATTTCACACTCTCGTGAGTGCCTCATGTACATGCGAAATGAATAAAATGTATATACTTTTATTTTGTTCATCTGCCCAGTACCACTTTAATTTCTAGATCCAGCAGAAGAGCCCGCTACAAGCTAAAAAGGGGGTTTGGAGGTGATTTCTGGCTCCCCTACAGTGAAAGAAGCCCAGACCTGATGAAGGGAATTAGATTCTAATCCTGACTTGTATGTGTGCCCTTCATCGATCCCTTTCTGTCATGGCTCATCTCCTGGAAAGTTTTAGTAAAAATTGCTAAATCCCTGTGTATCTATCATAGTCTATCACTTTTTAAACCACCACACAATTGAGTTGTGCCAAAACATTGATTAAAGTCCATTCTTAACCCTGACATGAGAGACCCATAATTAAAGGAGTTTGGGGAAGGACCTTAACTCTTCCTGCCATTCCATAGTTTTTCCCATTTTGATTTTCTTATTACACCTTTTTCTTTCACGTCTCATTCTATCTACGGCTCACACAAACAAGCTGGTGGAAATGTATAATTAAATCTTTATTCTGTGGAAAATAAGTTTTACCTTTTAACTCTGAAGTTAAAGTTAAAAAACAGAAGTACTTATTATTAATCGATCTCTTGAATGTCCACCTTTCTTTAAAATATGCCAAATTATCCATGGAAATCAAATAAATGAAAATCGTGAATTTACCTGATAGGAAGACTTACCATAATAAAATTCTGAACAATAGACATCTGCTTACCCTAATAATTCATCACCAAATTGAATTATATAAATTCAAGTGCATATGATAGTGGCTGAAATCATGGCTCAATTCCTGCATCTCATACATGAGGATTTATAACATTTGTTAATAACTTTTGAAGAGATCAAAAATGAAAGTAAAATTTACTTTATGCCAATTACTTAGAAAATAGATTACTTAGGAAAACATTTAGACTGGTTGTTTAGCCAGTCTTTCCAATCCACTTATGTTTAGGCAGCCACCAATCAATTCTACCCTTCATAACGCCGAAATGAATTTAAAAAAGCAACTTTTGCTTTCCATACCAAGCAGCTTAGAAAAGCAAAAATTTGAGAAGTACAAATTTTAAAAAATTCTAAAAATAATTTTGAATTTTAAACACCTATAGAGAGTAATGAAGCACTAACTGACCTTAGTCTGGTGGAGATAGACTTTGCTCTCCTCCTTGGCAGCAATTCAAGTTTACTTCCGCAGCTGTTTGTGATGAGCTTCATTCTGCTTCCTTAGAGACTTATTTGTTCGTTTTGTTTTGGTTTTGGTTTTGCCTTTGATGATGCTCTTGTTTGATTCCAACTGAGCAAAACAGAACAAATAAGAAACAGTTCCTAATCAATCAGAACAAGACTTTTCCCCTTTGTAACATCTTACTTCCTTCATAATAAATAAAATAGAATAATGTGTTTATTTATTTTCTTATTATTTTGTTATTGTTGCTACTAGTACGGTTATTATTAGGCCCTCTCCATGGGAATGTGAGCTCCAGGAGGGCAAGGACCTTCTTGGCATTATTAACTAACAAATGGTTCTGCTGCATAAGTAGACGCTCAAAAATATTTCTTATGAACAAATAAATTATTATAGAATCAATTTTCTTTATCACCTGGGCTCAGCAAGGTGGTTTTCCAAAAGCACTATTTTTCAAATACTAAAGCATGTGCACAGAAGAATTTTTCAACATTTATAAGGTAACCCACTACTAGGGCTGGAACCCAAGTCTGACTTCCCAGGTCTGGGAAGCCAATTGTGTGTCTCAACACAATCTACCAGGGCCCTTTCAAAATAAACATGGAGACATTGTAAAACTAGAGAGTATTTTTGATTTGTCCTTTGCACGTCATAAAAAATTTTCAGTATTCTACTTTGAGAAGCAAGTAGCTGCTACACAAACGTTTCCAGGCAACAATAGTCGAACAGGCGCATTCACTAAACGTAATTCCAATTTTGACGGAAATTGATCCCCAGATAGCTTGCTTTGCTCACAGGTTTGTGTTCAGTTATTTTTATTCAGCAGTAGTGATTGTCAGGCTCAAAACACAAAGGGCAATGTCCAAGTATTACTACTTTATTTCAATTTGGATTTTTTTTGGGTGTTAAAGTGAAGAGTACAGGATGACTTAAATTGTTGGTTAATTTGTAGGTTAAGTGATTTTTCCTAAATGAAAATGGAGGAGTGGATTCCTGTATAGAATGCAAGCACCTCAATAACAATTCTTTTTGCCTGTTTCTTCACTGTTGTATCCCAAGGACATAGAAAAATGTCTTCCACATGGTAGGCACTCAGTGGCTATTGAATAAATGATGGTATAAAAAAAAGTATAAATTTTCCAAGTCAATTTAAACCCTGTAGGAATTGTAGCCAGTTAATAGAGCCATTCTTCAGGAGACATTATATGGAGCGAGAATGCCTTTGCTCACGTTGTCCTTCTGATTAAAACCCTTATTTTTTTCTGTACCTGTTTAAGAATATTTTTAAGACTCAAATTACATTTGTCTTCTATGAGGATGCACTGCCGTAAATACTATTTTCTTTGAAATCTTATTGCAACTGCAATCTATGTTATGCATGTTGTATTACTTATATATCATCTATATCATCTATCTATATAGATATATATATACAGTATAGATTAGATTTTTTTTTTTTTTGAGAAGGAGCCTCTCTGTGTCACGCAGGATGGAGTGCCGTGGTGCCATCCTGGCTCATTGCAATCTCCACCTGCTGGGTTCAAGCGACTTTCTGGCTCAGCCTCCTGAGTAACTGGGACTACAGCCATGCTTCACCATGCCTGGGTAACTTTGCATTTTTGGTAGAGATGGGATTTTGCCATGTTTGCCAGGCTGGTCTCAAACTCCTGAGCTCAGGTGATCCACCTGACTCAGCCTCCCAAAGTGCTGGGATTACAGGCATGAGCCACTGAGTCTAGTCTGTGTTACATATATTTTCAATTTTTTGTCTCAATTTCATTATGATACTGAGAAAAATGCAGGCCTTTAAGGCCATTTTTTTTTTTTTTTTGGAAATTTATCTTGTATATTTTAATTGCAAGTTATCACATTATTCTCTCTTAGAGATATAATTTTTGCATTGGAATAGACATGATTATGTAAGAATATTCACAGCTCTCAAAATCTCTGATGTCAAGTCTTTATGAAGTAGCACACCCAAATTTTTTCTAAATTTACTGAGAATCTGTGGTTTAGTAAATAACAGTAGACTCTCAAACTCCTCTGAAACAGATCAACCAACCAGTTGGCTCTTATTATCTGTTGAAATATGTCATGCGGTTGTGTCTGTGTCCTCTCCTGAGCAGGCTGAGGGTGACACTTAGCTGGCTTTCTGGGATGGCAGATATATCTATTGACTCACACTTAATTTGAGACCTTGGGATTTTCTTCTACTTTACTAGACCAGGTTGCCTCATCTATCTTCCTTAACTCTGC